GTTGCTGTTCTCAAAAGGTAGTTATATAAATTTTGTCAAGATATAGCTCTAGAAGTTTATAAAAATTGTACGAAGTAACAACTTGAAAAGTGTCAGTTAATTGAGATTCCATATATACAATCAATCGGATAACTTCTATAAATCGATAAAATATTTTTTCATTTCAAGTACAATCTTGTCAAATTTTTCAAAACGTTAAACAAAAATTAAAAGAGAATGCAACGGTGACGCGTCGGAATCAGCAATCTTGAAGTGCGCTGAACTTTCCGTGGGCAACGTGGCATCAATCAGGTCAAAACATAAAAAAGTTTCTGAAATACCGTTTAACTCTTCAAATAAATTCCAGGTAAAGTAAAAAAAAACAAATAATTTAACTTTGGCTAAACAACTGTTATGAAATTTCCAGGTATCAATTCATGAAGTAAATGAACCAGCCTCCAAATATTTGTTGGTTATGAAAGGAGCTCCCGAGCGCATACTGGAACGTTGCACACAAATTATCGCAAATGGAAAAAATCATGAAATGAATGATCAATGGAGATCAAGCTTTAACGAGGTTTCTTTTAAAAATCAATATATAATTTTATGTACTCTAAAATTCAATATAAAATTAAAGGCATACAATGCCATGGGAGGATTAGGTGAACGTGTTTTAGGTTTTTGCGATTGTTATCTTCCAGAAGAAAAATTTCCAAAAGGTTTTAATTTTGATGCTGACAACCCCAATTTCCCGTTATCTGGACTTCGTTTTGTTGGATTAATGGCCATGATTGATCCTCCGAGAGCTGCTGTACCGGATGCTGTCAGCAAATGCAGGAGTGCTGGTATAAAGGTGATGTAATTAAAATTACTTTTCTAAATAAAATTTTTTAAAAAATATGTTTTTTTTTATTTCAAGGTGATAATGGTAACGGGGGACCATCCTATCACAGCAAGAGCCATTGCCAAGAGTGTTGGCATAATATCGGAAGAAAACGAAACTATTGAAGAAATGGCGGAAAGATTGAAAATACCCATTTCAAAAGTGGATCCAAGGTCGATAATATTTTTAAAAAAATAATAAATATGATATTTTTGCTAAAACCGTTAGTTTTCCTTTTTTAAACAGAGCCTGCAAAGCTCGAGTGATTCACGGAACAGAGCTGAAGGAAATGACCGACCAAGAGTTGGATGATGTTTTGAACTACCATTCAGAAATCGTGTTTGCCAGGACATCTCCTCAGCAGAAACTCATCATTGTTGAAGGCTGCCAGCGACAAGGTGCCATTGTGGCAGTCACTGGGGATGGTGTCAACGACTCGCCTGCTCTCAAGAAGGCTGACATCGGTTAAAAATTCTACAAAGCATAAACGTTCAAAGCTTGGTAATATTATTTCTATAATTTTTCCAATTCAGGAATAGCTATGGGGATAGCAGGATCGGATGTGAGCAAACAGGCAGCTGATATGATATTGCTCGATGATAACTTTGCTTCCATTGTTACTGGAGTGGAGGAAGGTGAATTTTATATTCCTTTTAACGAAGGTGTTTTTTTAATTAGCGTGTTTTGACAGGTCGCTTGATCTTTGACAATTTAAAGAAATCAATCGCATATACGTTGACCAGTAAAATACCAGAAATGACACCCTTCTTAATTTACATTCTGGCTGGCATTCCGTTAGCACTTGGAGTTGTCACAATTCTTTGCATTGATCTTGGAACCGACATGATTCCCGCCATCTCGTTGGCTTATGAACAGCCTGAAAGTGACATCATGAAGAGGATGCCCAGGGATCCCACCAATGATAAACTTGTCAACAGCAGGTTATTAAAATTACTTAATATTAATTTGCAATAAAGCAATAGGTCAAAGTTTGTCCAACACCAACTTATTGGTTGAAAACTTTGGGATTCCGACTCTTAATAATTTTCAACTTTTGCTTTATATTTTTAAAATTGTACAATTTCTTTTTAAATTTTTAATATCAAACATTGATTCACCCATTTCGGAGTCGAATAAAAAATCCTGACACTGGATTTTCCAAAAGCTCAATTTTTGTATTTTTATTAATTGAAATGTAAGTAAATAAATTACAACGAAACATCTCCATATATCTATATATCTTTATAAATTTCTCTAGATTAATTTCAATGGCTTACGGGCAGATTGGAATGATGCAAGCTGGAGCAGGTTTTTTAGTTTATTACGTTATTATGGCCGAGAATGGATTCATGCCAATGAGGTTGTTTGGACTTCGCAAAGAATGGGATTCTCCCAGTGTTTCTGATCTTCTTGACTCCTATGGACAAGAATGGGTGTGTACATCGAAAATTGTATTTCTAATGTTACCTATTCCACTGTCGTTATCTCATTTCTGGTAAATAATAATTGCAGACGTACGCTCAAAGAAAGGTGTTGGAATACACTTGTCATACAGCATTTTTTATGGCAGTCGTTCTTGTGCAATGGACTGATCTAATTATTTGCAAGACGCGTCGAAATTCTGTCATTCATCAAGGAATGCTGTACGCGTTTCATGTATTGCTTTTGTTAAATTATAATGAAAAAGTCAATACAATTCTATTCAATTTTTCAGCAACCACCACTTAACGTTCGGTTTATTTTTTGAGACAACTTTAGCAGCATTCCTATCGTACTGCCCTGGACTTGATAAGGGCCTCAACATGTACCCACTCAAGTAAAATTTTCAACACTGCTTTTGTTCTAGAATTTTCATGGAAATAATGAGTTTTGGGATTGTTAAAAAGTTTCGTAACACTTGAAATTAGTAAATGGTGCATGGAATGAAATAATCATGAACAGGTGGACGTGGTGGCTGGTGCCCCTACCATTCAGCGCACTTATCCTCGCATACGACGAGGTCAGAAAATATCTACTAAGAAAGAGACCAGTTGGATCTGGAGGCTGGCTGGAAGAAGAAACTTACTATTAAATGGCTGTTATTTTTATAATATTTTAAATGGTAGAAATCTATGTTCATAATTACTTGAAAGATTTTAAAAAATCTTAACAGTGTAAATATTAATAAATAATTTTAGTTTATAGCAATAACGATTGATAATCTTCTTCTACTGAGCATACATTTTTTTAGTGGGATTGCGTACATGTTTTTTCATCGGCACAAGTAGTTTCAAGTTTCGTTATTTAATGCCATCTCAAACATGTCCAAACTTGATTGAACAAAATGGTTTAGATCAAAATTAATTGTTGTGAAAAATCATATCTGGATTGATTCTTCATTAAAAAATTGTAAATATTTATCTACTCTTTAATTCATTCAATCAAATTGTTTAATTCTGCCATTTAAACTTTTATTTTATGTGTTTATAATAAAAAAAATTACATTATTCTATGTTATATCATCACATTAATTATGTTTTCGCTCTATTAACTAATTAAAATTTCACTAAAATGCCAGGTACTGTGTTGCTCTTGTTTACATATGTAAACAAGAGCATGTAGATTAACAAATTAATCCAATGAATTGAAGTTCTTAACGTATATTAATAATGAATAATTCATAAATTGTGTTGAACGTGTCAGCTGAAGCTGCTTTTCATTTGATTATAATATAACAAAGCAGAACAATTGAAGCCTGTTAGTGGCTAGATTTTTTGTTCGCTTCACAACTGGTTGCATTTGAAGAAGAGTCGGTTGCCGTCGGTCAATAAATTCAATGTTTTACCTTGAAATTTAAAATTTAAATTTTCGAATCGCGAATTTTAAACGTTCAATCAAACAGCTGTTGCATTTAGCGTTTAAATTTTTTTTGCAAAATGTCGACCAGAGAACCGGTAATGTAAACTTTATTAATGTTATTTTTGATCTTCAAGTTTAATTAAATTTCACAAAAACATTCAAAAAATTCTTACTTATAAGTCCTCTCGCATTGAAACAGGATAAAAAGCAGTACAAATATTCTCCTGCAAACGCATCCAAATCAGGATCTAAGAAAAAAGCCAAAGAAGATTTAGATAACCTTAAAAAAGATGTTGAAACGGTACGATCAAGTTTCCTTTTAAACGCGAATATTATCAAATAAAAAATTTATTAATATTAAAAAGGACGAGCACAAAATATCGACAGTTGAACTCGAAAAAAGACTTCAGACTAGTTTCGAGCGCGTAAGTTTCCTTAAACTTTTTTACAAAATATTAAAAATTGTTTCAATTCATTCAAAAATATTATACACAAAAAATGATACAACACATTTCCAACGTGTGGGTAGGTTTTCTTTTTTGAGTACACACATTTGTACGTTTTCTGGTGCACATAATTTAATTAACCGTTTATATACAAAGAGACGATCTCTTTTTGGTTCTTTACATTCACGTCCCTAAGTCATTTATACCCATTTTGACAGATAATTTTATTTTTTTTATATTTGTTTGAAGTTAATAGGTTATAACAAAACTTAAAAAGAACTTATGTTGTTATATTTATATGAACAGAAATATCATCTAACAAAAGTTTTTATAGAACAATTGAAAGCCAAAGAACATCCCACGCAGGGACTTAGCAGTAGTTTAGCAAAAGAAATCTTGGAGAAAGACGGTCCCAACCAACTGAGTCCTCCAAAAACTGTTCCAGAGTGGGTTAAATTTTGCAAGCAGCTGTTCGGAGGTTTCTCAATTTTGCTGTGGATCGGTGCTATCTTGTGCTTCATAGCCTACGCGATACACGCCGCAAGTACGAGTGACGTTCAAGGGGACAACGTGAGTTTTATTGTGGTGATTTGAAGAAGTTCTTTCAATGATTCTTTAGAATAATTAAAACTTAATTTAATTTTGTTCCAGCTTTATTTAGGAATAGTTTTGACGGCAGTTGTCGTGATTACGGGATGTTTTTCATACTACCAGGAAGCTAAAAGTTCAAAAATTATGGAATCGTTCAAAAATTTGGTTCCGCAGGTGTTTCATTTTTATATTCAAATTCATTTGAAAAATTTATTACTGACAGAGCAACAATTGCTGTTCTGTGTACGAGTATAGATGTATGTACAATGTACATATATAAAAATTGGTTTCTTTTAGCATGATTAATTGTCATTGTCATTATTATTATTATTTTGATTGTTTCTTTACTACTGAGTATTTTTTAAAATTACAAAAGCAAAAAACCACATAGTAGAAGTGGCAAGTTGTAAGTTATTAAATGACGAAATCTCCAGTCTGCAGGTTGAATTGATCTCATATTTAAATCGTCACACACCCATCTGTAGAACAAATTTTATTAAAATTATTGTATTTGTAAGTTTTTTAATTCGAGGCTTGAGAAAAAATAAAAAAAGAGTACGCCGTGCAATGAAGTATAGAAAAAACCATGTGGACAAACTTATTGCTCCGAAAGCTGTCTCTCAAATTTTTACTTCATGACAAAAAGTTCTCCGAACAGCGTTATGCAACGCATCATTATTATTAATTAATGGTTAAATGTTGTAATTGCAATGAAAATAACCTATTTGATGCTTGCACATGTTTTCCAACAAGTTTTAATTAAAGCGAAATTTAAAAAACTCGAATCTTCCCACAGTGCAGTACAAAGTTATTCAACAATCACCACTTGCTTACTCAAATGTCGCAAATCAGTAATTATTTTTATAGGTATTATTAGGAATTTCAATACTTATGTAATTTTGATCAGCATGAGCACAAATTACACATGATGGCCACTGAAATGTCTTCAACTAGGTTATGTACTACTGGCTAATTACTTTGTTAAACGAATCGACATGACATCAATGTTGGGTTCAATAACTCATTTTAGTTCATTTAATTAAAATATTTTAAATTTGTAATATTTTACAGTACGCTTTAGCAATACGAGATGGTAAGAAAACAAATTTAAAAGCTGAAGATTTAGTTCGAGGGGACGTCGTAGAGGTCAAATTTGGAGATAGGGTTCCGGCAGATATAAGAATTATTGCCGCTCATGGATTTAAAGTATTTTTATAAATTTACTGAAATAAATGTTTAAATAAGTTTTATCTTTTATTTAAAAAGTTTTAACAGCAAATTAAACCTCTGACATTGTTTGAATAGGTTGATAACTCATCTCTAACTGGCGAGTCTGAGCCTCAAATACGAACTCCCGATTACACCAATGAAAATCCCCTAGAAACTAGAAATTTGGCATTTTTTTCAACAAACGCGGTTGAAGGTAAAAATTTTTTCTTAGTACACAGCACTTACAAGGCAGAGTTATTTTTATATTTTTTCTTACTTATTTGAAATTAAACTTTTGTGCCACGGAAGCTGTGACATCCACAAGACGTGGCATTATATGCATACACATTTGTATGAACGTACGAGCAAAAACCAGAGCATATAACTATCTAGATATAGTTCTAAGCTAATCTGCACGCTATAACAACGCAAGACACTTCACTTTAACTCTCTGAGCTAACTTGCTAATTACGAAACATATTTTTACAATATTTCAATTAAAATAAAACATAATAATCTATCATCTCAAACATGTTTTCTGCAGGAACATGCACCGGAGTTGTCATAAGCACAGGAGACAGAACTGTCATGGGGAGGATTGCTGGGTTGGCTTCTGGATTGGAAACAGGATCAACACCCATTGCAAGAGAAATCGCCCACTTCATACACCTCATCACTGCTGTTGCCGTTTTTCTCGGAATAAGTTTTTTTGTCATTGCGTTCATCCTGGGTTACAACTGGTTGGATGCAGTCATATTTTTGATTGGTATCATCGTGGCGAATGTTCCTGAAGGTCTGCTGGCTACTGTTACGGTTTGTATTTACTATTATTAATTGTCAAGTTTGTTTCCATTTACGAATATAAACCGTTTAAACAGAATGTGACGTGTACGCACACACATAATATATATCTACATATCTGTGTGTGTGTGTGTTTGTGTGTGTGTGTCTCTGTGTGTGTAAGCAAGAGAAAGAATGAAATGTATAAAAACAAAAATATGAAGTGAAAAGAATAGCGAGTGAATGGCCGTAGTAGCCATAATTCAAAATGTAAACAAACCAGATGCTGTTTTAAATAACGTGATAAATCAATCGTCATAATAGGTGTGTCTGACGTTGACTGCTAAAAGGATGGCAAATAAAAATTGTCTTGTGAAAAATTTGGAGGCTGTGGAAACTCTTGGATCAACGTCAACAATCTGCTCTGATAAAACTGGTACTCTCACACAGAACAGAATGACTGTGGCTCACATGTGGTTCGATGATCACATTGTTGAGGCCGATACGACTGAAGATCAATCAGGTATTATAATTAAAGCTAACCTAATTTTCATCGACGATCATGAATATTGAAGATTATTTTTCTTAATAGGAGCCACATTTGATAAATCATTGCCAACCTGGCACGCTCTAGCTAGAGTTGCCATATTGTGTAACCGAGCAGAGTTCAAGATGAATCAGGAAACTGTGCCTATTCTTAAAAGGTATCAATATAAAATTAATATTGAACTTTTAATAAAATGAAACTGTTAAATTATTTGTTGTTGATCTTTTTGCAGAGAATGCAATGGCGATGCTTCTGAATCAGCTCTTCTCAAATGCGTGGAACTATCTATAGGAAATGTAATAAAATTCAGATCGGAACATAAAAAAATTTGTGAAATTCCTTTCAATTCAACAAATAAATATCAGGTTCACTAGATTTATTTCTTACTAATTATGTTTTGATATATTAATTCTGCTATGATACCACATTTTATATAATGACACTCTAAAAAATCATTTGATTCACAGGTTTCAATTCATGAAATTGATGAACCCAAATCGAAATATTTATTGGTGATGAAGGGAGCGCCAGAACGAATTTTAGAACGTTCCAACAAGTTACTCGTTGACAATGAAGAACAAGACATGAATGAGGCTTGGCAGAAACGATTTAATGATGTAAATACCATTGGTATATCTTGTCGCAACAAAAATTATTTACATATTAAAATACATTTTTAGGCCTACAATGAATTGGGTGGACTTGGAGAACGTGTCTTAGGTTTTTGTGATTTTCATCTTCCAGTAGAAAAATTTCCGAAAGGTTTTAATTTCGATGCCGACAATCCCAATTTTCCATTATCTGGACTTCGCTTTGTTGGATTGATGGCCATGATTGATCCACCGAGAGCTGCTGTTCCCGATGCTGTGTGCAAATGTAGAAGTGCTGGTATTAAGGTT